GAAAAAAAAAAAAAAAAAAAAAAAAAAAAAAAGCCAAACAAGCAAATAACTAAATAATTCCTTCTCTACAGAATATTAGAAGTTGACCAAATGTGGACAGGTCAATATCAAACCAGGTACCATTTGCCCAGTCTCTGCTTCAAAATGAATCAGGAAGAAATAAGGACAGGTACACCCAATCACCATAGACATATAATAATACAAACAGATTCAGAAATGGTATTTATGCAGCCCTGGGGTGTGCTGTTCGGCAACATGCAAGGAAGCCTGTCAACACTTCTAAGACCGTGGGGATGCTGAGAGTCTAAGGGCCGCTGAGACTCTGAGGTTAAATTTTCCTGATTGTAACTTAGGACAGGGATTACTTTTTGTCCCAGTGTAGATGTGAAGAGTTCAGGTGTCTCTGGTCCAAAGAAAAGGGATGAAAAAGTGGAGATGTTTCTCCATAATAAACCACAGTGTATGGAGTTTCCAAACAAATTCCCTCCAAACAAACTGTCTGATATCACTTATCCATTCTCATCATGTGTACAACTGAAAAAGCACATTCACAAACCATGACCTCAAAGGGCCTCCCAACAGTCCTGGAAGGTAGGCAGAACAGGTATTGTCATCATCCCCATTTCAATAAAGCAAAACTGAGACACAGAGAGAGTGAATATCCAGGTCATATGAGTCTTAGTTAGGACTTGAACCCAGGTCTTTGGAGTCCAGGTGGAATATCTTTTACAGAGGGTATGTCTTAGCAAATGATCCAGGCCTTAGCCAAATCATGTTCTTAGCCACACGGATCGTGCTTATTGCCAGTGGCAACCTTCACCTTTTTCTCTGTCCTTTCTCCCTGACCGTAGAGCTCTTGAAATTCTTTGCACTGAGGTATCAGGAACTGGATTTGTTCCTTATCTCAGGATTGCCTGTCTTCACCCAATAGAAGAGTTTTCAAGCATCAGTGGGAGATTTTTTGTTTTCTTCCTGTGAAATGAAAGCATTGTAGATGCTACCAAGAAAAATTCTTTTCTGGCAGCCAGAATCCTAGAGAATGTTCTGGGAGGTAGTAGGAGCTGGGTGGGAAAGCTCAACGTGATGGCATGAACTCTCTTCCCATGGCTGTAACCCCAC